CTTTTTCTTTAGTTTTGTTTTGTTTTCCCCAACATTTGCGCGGCTTTGTTTTCCCTTGGGTTTTTTTGTTCCTATTTTTTATGCTTTTCGTTGTTTTTCTTTTGCCCCCTCAACATAATTTATGCTCGGAAATGTTGTTGATGTCATATGTATGAAACCAAACGGAAAACTTGATGCAAAACTTGAGAAATTATCATATAGGGGAAACTCTCTTGGCCGACTTGTAGGGAAATTCAGCTTATTGGAAAAATCCCTGCGAGGGACATCTGCCATCATTTAATGAACATAAAATATAAAATAACCATCCGTTTCCTGTTTCTCTTTAAGATAACGACAGGTCATAAGAGCAGAAAGTGGATTCGTAGAAAAGGGAAAATGGAGCGTAAGGATAGCGTAAGCGGGAGGATGTAATAGGAATTGTCAGATGCAGAAGATACCCCCAGTCGTAGGGTCCAGTGGCACAGCAGGGCTCAGCAGGAGTCGGGGTACGTACATATAATATTTTTCCTCTCTTTATTGGCATCCGGAAGCCCGTGAAATATTCAGCAATAAAAAAACAAAACTTTTCAACCTGAAATATAATACGTACAGGAGGGAAAAATGTGGAAGGGATGGCAAGGGGGAAGGGTGTCCCCCCATACATCTGTACATCTGTGTGTGGCACATTCTCCTACCTGCTAAAATACACATGTTGAAAATGTTAGTAGAAATGGTAGAGTGGTGGAGCCAGCAGCCGAAACCAACCAAAAAATGTCCCGCCTATAGCGCAGTGCCAGCATTTTCCGGCTGATAAGAAGTGGGCGCGGGGTAGGTGGGCGTCTAAGAGTTAGTAATTCGCCTTTATGTATGTGTGATGGAAGAGGGGGGACTCCCCCCTAGTCAGATAGATAGATATTGGCATAAAGCGAAGAAGTAATCGTGGACGTACATAAATTCTCTCGTTTTTTTATCCCTATTTCTCTATCATCTTTCGGCTTTTTTTTTGTTTAGTTTTACTTGATTTATGACTAGCACAAATACTAGCAAACACACCCATATATGGGAGACAGAAATCGAAGTTTATTGATAGCCGCGCTGTGGCAATAAAAACAAGAACCACAGACTAGATTTCGTGTGGCGTATCGGCTGATACCCTGGCATTTGGCTGTTCCTCGAGTTGAACCGGTACCAGAGACACCCTTTGTATCCCCTGAGTAAGGGGTATCACAGAGTGAAGGCGTACTGTGGCTGGGCGTGGCTTTTCGGGGAGATGCTGTGTGTGTGAGTGATACAAGAGAGAAAAAACAACAAAATATATGCCATGTTTATGTTTGGCACTTGTTTATGGCCAAGAAAACTGACAAAAGCAGATGACGAAACAAAATAAAATTGGATTGGGGCAGCACTCGAGGCCGGAATACCCTATCACATGCCACTTGCAATGAATACTCTTCAGAACAGTTTTGTTGCCAAGAGTTCTGTTCAGAATATTCAACAATTGGGCTCATTTTCTCATTACCTTTGGAACCATTCAGCCAGTGGAATACCCTTTACAGTTGTTTCAGGGTACTCTCCTATTCCACACGATTTACCCATTATCTCTCGTTTGGCATCAAACTAAGATTGGTCTCTCACTCTTTTTGTTGCTGTGTGTATTTTTTCTCGTTATTGCAAAGAGACCCAAAAGCAGGTCAGTAAATTGAGCTGGACCCCCAAGGGGACGGCGGGGGGCCGGCAGCTGATAGAAGCTCTCTGCTAATGCTTGTCTGAGGTTAAATGACATTAAAGAGCGAAACGAAACGAAACCAAAGCCGTTGACATCGTGTCACATGAAGGGGGTAAGGTAAGGCGAGGAGAATGAGGAGAAGGCGCCCATCAGCAAACGAACTGAGAGAGCGGCAGAGGCAGAGAGAGAGGCATACTTAGGCACCATACAAAAAAAAAACTGTACTGTATGAAAGAGTTACGTGCCAAAGCCTTGCCAAAGAGTGGGGACCGACGGGGTAAAGAGCGCGTGACTTGAAGGCAAATGGAACAAAAAAATAAAAATCTCAAAGGCAAAGCCTGCAAAAGATGAGAGGGGAGCGCGGAACAGCACCCTTTCAATGACAAGAAGAGAGCAGGACAGGGCGGCCTAATGAGGGTAACTTCTAAGGCAGGCGGAGAGAGTGGGAGAACAGGCCCCAACGCCTGGAGGTGAGGAGGTCAGCCGCGTGGAGCACCTTTTGCCCGAAAAGCAACAAGCAAATAAACACGAAACAAAGACAAAACAGTCGCCATGCAAATAAAACTAAACAAACAAAAACAATTGGAGCAAAAGCAAACATCTGCGAGGGGAAAGAGACGCCCCGGTTAGCCGAGGCTTTTGATACCCTTTGGCAGCTACCAATGCCATGATATCTGGCTTTAAAGACTTGAAAGTGTTTCTGCCAACACTTCAATCACAATCGCAATACGTTCTTCCCTCGCAGGGTACAATAATCAAAACTTCCCACCCCACGGGAGGGGATGGGGGGAAAAGTGTGCACAGAATGAAAAAATATACGATTGACGCTAACAAGCAAAGCGTCAATAAAAACAACAACAACAACGACAAAGAGTAGCGTCGCTTTAAACGTGGCCTCTGGAATTTTTGTTTCATTTGCCAAATTGTTTCATACAGACAACCACACACCAGCACGAGCGTGAGAGTAAACCTAAAGAGAGCGAGAGCACGCCAGAGAGAGAGAGAGCGAACCCAACTGTTTCAACTTTGAAACGTTTTTTTGTTGTTCCATGCGTGAGCTTAGCGGCATCCTCTTCCCTCTTCCCACCGCCCGCTGCCCCACATCCCAGCAGACATCTCTTTCGCTCCCACTTTTGCCGCCCCACTGACTTCGCACTTGGTGCTAGAGAAGCTTAGCATGGGGCACGGCACTCTTATGCTTAAACGCAATGTGCATGTGTGAAGACGACGGTCTCCCTCTTTCTTTCGCTGCTAGGGCCTCCCCCAGCAGCCACCTGCTGGGGATGCAGCGCACACCAGCAAGTGCACACATGCTTGAGTGTACGCACAGTGGGAAAATTAAATCCGTAATTTATTAAAAATAGACAATATCCCTTACATTTTCAATTTGAGCTCAACTTGTTCTGAGGAACGACAGCCACTGTGCGAAGCTGTAACTGCCGTTGTTTCCATGTTCTCCCACCCACGTCGCCCTTTGCTCATGGCACCTCTTCCTTCTTGCTTATTCATCTCGTTCCCCTCTACTTTTTATTCACGTAGCACTTTTGCCTTGTAATTATTGTCATTACGTCATGAACAGGCAGAACCGCGACGCGCAATGCAAGACGCCAAACCACTCGCCCCGCGCCCCCTTATACGACGAACCACCCTGCATGAAGCATCTTTCTCACTCTTTCTTCTCTGCTGGGCATCTTTTCGACCCTCTCCTCTTTCGTTTTGTTTTGATTCGCCACGGCTTTTAATTTGGCGCGACGCTGTCAAGGTATATTAGTACGAAGGTAAGTGAGTGCCTTTCTTACTAATATACCTTTGAAACTGTTTTCCCCCTTTGAGAGAAAGGAGAGGGACTGAGGAGAGGGAAAAGCGGCAGGGAAAGATCAACAGCCGGAGACGACTTTTGACGACTCTTTTGTGCTTATTTTAATGTGCATTTAAATGTTTGCTTTTACGTAATAATTTTTTTCGTTTTATTGTTAGAACATGCCATGAATGTCTAATAGGAAAATCATTTCGAAAGCATGCAATATAGAGAGCACCCGGCAATTAACTTTTAGCATCTAGATTCTACAGAGAGAGTCACGCAAACGACGCGTAAAATTGTTAAATTTGAACTTGAAAAGGGATATGGCATGCATTTTGCCATCCAATTGAGAGCGGACGTCGAGTGAGAACAAATCGAAATGTAATTAAAGTCAACAACAAAAAGGAAGAGCACAGTTCACTCTCACTTTTGAATATTGCTCTAGTCTGTCTCCCTCTCTCGGCCGCTAAAAACTTGGGCGAAGAGTGATTGGATAATGTGTGTGTGTGGCACTGAAGCGGCGTGCGCAACAACAACAAGAAAACAGCTGAGCGGGAATCCACACACAAGCACACACCCCCACATAGATTCCATATATATATGTATGTATATGGACGATTTTGCTTTTAGCTTAATTAACTTAAACAAAAACGACTATAACTTACCGCTTAATGGCGGCTCTATATTACAAAATTTATCAGAGTTGTTTGCAACTAACGGAACTCGTTAACACTTTTCACTGTTAATTCATTTAAAAATTTAGTCAGAGTTCACATATGTACGTACAGTACATTTCTCTTATTTTTATCGTAAAAAGCCGCACAGATATATGTTTTCAGCGCGAATAGTCCGCAACGCGTGTGGCTCCAACAAAAAATAAATTTGACTGGGCTTCAAGCCCCAAGCTGTCCGGCGGGTCTCGTCTCCATTTCCAATTTTCCCCATGCATCACTACCACCATGCAACCGACGGATGTCTAGGTGGCGTATGGGAGTTTCTGTACCCTATTCAATATAATTGTGGTTCAAATTTTGTTTTCCAAGCCTTTTCTCAATTAATGGGATTGAAGCCAAATTTTAATGTTGAGTTTTTCTCAGAATAACCCATCTATTCCATTGATGATATTATTATTCATACATTCGCTATTGTGCGTTACAAACATCTGGAAGTCTCATAATAGCCGTTCATCTCGTATCAATGAGTATCGATAGATGTATGCGGTAAATCACGTAGACTGCATGTAAGTAAACATAGATGGCGCTTTAGTATCCATGTAAAAGTCACAAAGAAATGCGATTCGATGATGTTTATTGCATGCAATCATGCTGATCATTTCAGATAATAGAGTAAATTTTCTAAAAAATGCGCTTCAAAATACATTCCATTCCAATTCCTTATCTCAGAAAACCACCGATGTCCCACAAATATATATCGATATGTTGATATATGATTAGTTTACCATCCCTAATGAAGACGAAAAATTCCAATATTGTTGCTGTAATTGGATTAAACCAAACGGAAAATGCTGTAATTAGGTGAAAAGGAAGCGTTCGACCCACACAACACACACGGAAACAGCCAGCGCGTAGCCAGAAGAGAACTCTCCAGCAGCCAAGTGTCCAGCCGGATGGCCAATCGCAATATGCGAAGCAATACAACCAAAGTCGAAGCCCTGATCGAGAGCTGTCGCAGCGAGGGCAAATGGCAGCGCGTCATCGATCTGACGGACGAGCTGAAAACGGGCTCGCCCCAGAATGGTGAGTAGAGTCTCTAGAGGATCTATATGGACATATGAATCAATCTCTTTTTGTGTCCCCCCCGCACCACAGAATGCCTGGCCAACTTTTTGGTGGGCGAGGCTCGCCTGGAGAGTTATCTTGAGGAGAATGCCTTGGTTGCTGAATCGAACTTTGGACGCGCCAAGGCGGGCTTGTCCGAGGCGCGACGCTACCTGAATCTGGCCCTTGGGGAGTGTGGCCAAAAGGCGGGCATTGCTTTGGATGCTTACCTGCTGCTGGCCAAGCTCTGCTTCGCCTGCGGCGAGTACGAGCCCAGTCTGGATAACTTTATCAAAGCGGAGCTCAACACGCTGGCCGAAAAGGAGCTGACATTGTGAGTAGATCCCATAGAGATTGAAAGGAAACTAAATCATTCTCTATCGCTTATAGACGCAGCTTGAAGATCCTGGCCGAGTCGTATGCCATCAAGGGCCTGTGCCTGGAGCACCAGACATCCAAGCCCTCGTCCAAGTTCAAGAAGGCCGAAAAGGACACGGAGATGGTAAGTGATTGCAGGATTCTCTAAAGGATGCCCTAAAGAAATGCCATACCATTTTCCAGATAAGTTGCTTTGAGCGCGCCTCAGACTTGGGTCTGCTGTATCTGCAGGAGTACGACATCGTGAGTGGCAGCAGCAGCTCCAACAACTCCACGGCCGGCTCTACGCTGAATGTGAACGCCAGTGTGCAGCAGTCGAACAGCAGCTTTGCCATCAGCAGCACCATCCCCGCCAGCGGGGCGGCCACCCACGAGGTGAACCGTCGCATGGGCGCCATCCTGGAGACGGCCCTGCAGCGGGCCCCCATTGTACTGATCAAGACGGGCAAACTGCAGGAGGCCGTGGAGCGGTACCGCATTATGCTCAATGCCATCGAGACGAGGGCCACCCAATCGCTGCGTCTGACGCTGACCCGCCAGCTGGCCGAGGTCCTGCTCCGCGGTGTATCCGGCACTATTTACGCGCCTCCGTTTACCAGCAAATCGGGAGGGAGTACGCTGCGTGGCGGCGCCTCCAAGAAGCTGTGGAAGCCGCGCAAGTACCAGGCCCGGCAGCAGTTCTCGCCACGCAACCAGCAGGAGGAGGTGATCCTCCTACTGCTCATAGCCGAGGCACTGGCCGTGCGCGACACGGTGCTGTCGCAGAGCCCCGAATTCAAGCAGGCCCGCCAGCACGCCATGGGCAATGTGACGGCCGTCTACGACCTGCTAACCCTGGCCACGGTCCGCTGGGGCCTCGTCCAGCTGCTCAACGAGTCCTTCGAGAAGGCGCTTAAGTTCAGCTTCGGCGAGCAGCACGTGTGGCGGCAGTACGGCCTCAGTCTGATGGCCGCCGAGAAGCATTCGCATGCGTTGCGGGTGCTGCAGGAGTCGATTAAGCTGACGCCCAGCGATCCGCTGCCCTGTCTTCTAGCCTCGCGGCTGTGCTACGAGAGTCTCGAGACGGTCAAACAGGGACTGGACTACGCCCAGCAGGCCCTCAAGCGGGAGATCAAGGGTGAGTGGAAAGAAATTTGAAAAGGATTTATAAATCAATATGTGTACTCTGCAGGTCTGCGTCCTTCGCGGAGCCAGCTGTTTGTCGGCATTGGACAGCAGCAGCTGGCGATCCAATCGAACCTGCGGAGCGACCGCGATGCCTGCCACAAACTGGCGCTGGAGGCCCTCGAGCGGGCCGTCCAGAACGATGGTCACGATCACCTGGCGGAGTACTATCTGTCGCTGCAGTATGCGCTGCTCAACCAGCTGCCCGAGGCTTTGGCCCACATCCGCTTCGCTCTGGCCCTGCGCATGGAGCATGCTCCCTGTCTGCACCTGTTTGCCCTCCTGCTGACGGCATCGCGACGTCCCCGGGAAGCCTTGGGCGTGGTGGAGGATGCCCTGCACGAGTTCCCCGACAATCTGCAGCTGCTGCATGTGAAGGCCCATCTGCAGCTGCATCTGGAGGACGCAGAGACGGCGCTGGCCACCGTCCAGCACATGCTGGCCGTCTGGCGGGAGGTGTACGAGGCGCAGCTGACCGGCGAGGAGGAGAAGCACTCGGACACCAAGAGCGGCGTGCATCTAGTGCACTCCTCCCAGATGTCCGACAAGGACTCGAGTAAGTTTGTGGGCCCCCACACAGGGCCTCCTATTGCATCTCAACAAATCCAAATACCAATCCATATATACTAACGTCTGTGTTCTGTACATATGTCCCCATATACAAACTATATCTTCTCGATCTTCTGCGGAATGTGTCTATTGTACAAAAACAAACAAACAAACAAATCAAAATCCAATCAAAAAACACTCAAATAATTGTAAGTTTCCGATAAAGGAGCATCTCTTGTGAGGTTCCTGCTCCGATACCTGACGATCGGGCAGGTGCCACGCATACTATTCCATTTCTACATAGTTTTGATCGATTTGCATAGCTCTCTTCAACTTTGCCTGCTTCTCTACAATATTATCTACCATTTTTGATAACACTTTCTGCCTGTTTTATGCCTGTCTTGCTTTTGTGTATATCTCTCACTCTATACTGTTCCATTTCGTTGTTGGTCTTTCTACTCTTCGAAATTCTATTTCGAACCTATTTATATAATGCTCTTGAACTCTTGAAGATTCGGTGTATGCTGCTTCTCTGGCTGCAGTTTCGCGCGTGGAGCACGCCTTGAGCGAGGCGGCCAGCTCTCTGAGCTCTTTCACGCAGCGCCCCGGACCGCGGAGACCCTGGATGCTGCAGATTGAGGTGGGTATTTGGAGCCCTTGCTTAACAACTAGTCACCTCACCCTGGATTCCCTTTTCAGATTTGGCTGCTGCTGGCGGACGTGTATTTGCGCATTGAACAGCCCAACGAGGCCCTCAACTGCATCCACGAGGCCTCGCAGATCTATCCCCTCTCGCATCAGATTATGTATATGGTATGCCAGAGCCACAGCCACCTCTTGAATGTGCTTTTATCGAATGACAACTCCCTTTTTACAGCGCGGTCAGGTACATGTGTATCTGGAGCAGTGGCGGGATGCCAAGCAATGCTACCTCAATGCCGTGGCCGCCAATCCCAATCACACGGAGGCACTGCGTGCCTTGGGCGAGACCCATTTGATCTTGGGCGAGCCCCGGCTGGCCGAGAAGATGCTCAAGGATGCGGCCAAACTGGATCCGAATTGTCCCAGAATTTGGTGGGTAATCCAACAAAAGATATATCCCCTCTATCCTGCTCATTGTCTTGGTATTTCCCATAGGTTTGCTCTGGGCAAGGTTATGGAATCCCTGGGGGATTTCTATGCGGCGGCGGATTGCTTTGCCACTTCGCTGCAGTTGGAGCCATCGTGCCCGGTGCTGCCATTTACCTCGATTCCCCTGGTCTTTGAGTAGAGAGCGATCCTCGGATCCTTTCGTTTCGTTACGTTTCGTTTTGTAGAAGATTCAACCTCGACTAACCTCAAAAGTGAACAGCAATATTACTTACTTAAACGTCTCTATAAGCCCCAAACCGGTTCGCAGTAATTAATGAACTTTTTTTTGTATTCTGTGTCCCGTCAGTATTACAACATTTCGTGTAATTATGGATCGACAGATCGATCCGCCTGTGCGTATTTGTGTGTAAATTATTAGCTAGAAAATGTTCAAGTTGTTGTATATAAATCTATCTATTCTATGCCTTCGTTGATAATAACCAATTCTATGCTCTATAAGAAGGAGTTTCATCTGCCCACGCCCCCAGAAAATGTGCTACTTTTGTTGAAAACCTCTCTCTCTCTCTTTCTTTCTCTCTAATTTATTTTCTTGGAATGTTAACTAATGGATAATGATTTGATTATAAACTATATATCTAGATATAGCCGAATTTAAAGTTAAACAAATATATGAAGAACCTTAAAACCGTTGGCTTTCGCTTGCCTTTGTCCTTGTTTAGTTACCCTGCTTTGTGTTGCATGCCACCACACTCCTTTCACTTTCCGAATTAGCTAATTGACGTTGGTAATTTCCGCATTCTGTTGGAGGCCATCATCAGACACAAATATCCCCCTTAAAGAACCTCTAAAACTGTCAGAAGGGGGGGTGCTGGCCCGAGCCTAGGGGTGGCATTGGCGGGCGTTGCCCGTGGCAACTGGGCTTTTGGCCAATCAATAAAAAAGTCAACAAGCAAGTCGGAAATGTCGGCGCAGGGCGATGGCACAGGAATTTGGGTTGATTACGTTCTAGCATCGAAATAAATCCCTGTTTAGAGCGTGGCCTCATTGGGCGAGGACTGGGACCCGATTGCCCGTACACTGTCCCATGAAGGAGCAGCAGCGACAGCCGCAGGATGACCCCAAAGCGTAAGCGTCGCGGACGCAGCGAGTCCCGGGCCAGAAGCAAAGCCAAGCTGCAGGCAGAGCATCTGCAGCTGCTGAAGGAACTGGAGTTGGCGGACAGCTGCTGCGACATTTGCCACTGCGATTGCTACAGTTCGCACGGCAGTAGTGGGAGCACGACTGGACGTGGACAGCAGTCCCAGCACGGCAAGGAGGAGGCGCTGCATCAGTTGGACAAGGAGATCCAGACCCTCGAGAATTTGCAGCGCAGGGAGAGTGCCAGAACGGGTGCCGCATCCGCAGGCAGAAGGAGTCACAGCAGCCAGCGACAGCGCAGTGCTTCCAGATCTCCGACTGAGGGGAAATCCTCGCGAGCCCAGAGCAGACGCGGCTCCGCAGAGTGCCAGACGCGTGCCTCCACATCGGCCAGGAGTCGGAGATCCAAGAGTGCCGGCAGCCAGAGGTCCAAGAGCGCCTGCAGCCAACGGAGCGACTCCCGGCAGGCACATCCGAAGGAGGAACAGGTGGAAGCGAAGCCCCAGCCACGACAGCGCCGCGGTGCTCAAAGGGATTGCAAGATGCTGCAGGTGAGTGCGAAGGCGTGGGTCCCAGCAGAATCGAAATTGAAATCTATTCTCTCCCCAGTACTTTCTGGGGCCTCTGGGAGATGCCCCCGCCCTGTCCATCCATGGCAGAGGCAAATCCAAGTCGCAGGAGAACATGGCCCTGGTGCCACTCGGCCACAAACGAGGCGATGGCAAGTCCCTGTGCGCTTCCATGGCCAATCTCTGCCTGGCGCCGACAGTGCGGGCCGCCTACCAGCAGGTCCCCGACCACGACCAGAAGATCCTCAACCGAATGGCCGTGAAGCGGAGCCAGCAGGCGGCGGACAAGGAGCACGCCTGGCTGGCGCGAAAGTACTGGGAGAACGAGCGTTTGGAGCGCCAACTGCTGAAGGTCGAGCAGGTGGAGGAGTACAAGCGGGCGGTGCATGACAAACAGTTCCAGGACTACCTGATGACCAAGGCCCGCCTCCAGGCTTTGGCGGAGCGGGATCTGGCGGAGCTGCGGCGCCTGCGGGGCGCCCTGGATGCCAAGGATGCGGCGGCCAAGCAGCGACTGGCTTCCATGCGGCTGGAGCGGGACATGACCCTCTGCCAGCGGCGCTGCGAGGAGCTGCGTCGCAGCGAGGCCGTCACCGTGCACCAGGAGGAGCAGTACCTGGACTCCACCCTGCGCAAGCGCGACATCTGCATGCGGCTCAGCCAGCGCCTCCATCGCGCCGACGAGCTGCGCGGCCAACTGCTGGAGGCCTACCTGCGGCGTCTGCAGCACGACAACTACGTGGAGCAGGCCCAGCACGAGGAGCACTGGCGCGAGCGACAGCACCTCGAGCGGCTCAAGCAGGAGCAGCTCAAGGAGGACATTCAGCGGAAGAGGAGCCAATCGCAGCGCTTTGTCGAGGGCCGCCAGCGGCGACAGGAGGCCCGGTTCCGCACGGCCAAGATCTCGGCCAGCCTGCGGGAGCTGGTGCGTCAGTCGGTCACGCCCGAAGGTGCCACCGGGTCCCAGGGCCCAGATCAGCAGGCCCTCAACACGTATGCCCAGCAGCAGGTGCACTTGGGCCGCCTCCTCTTCGAACGTTCGGCTAGGGATTGAGGCTTAGGGCTGGCTGGCTACTGGTTGTGTATATAATATCGCTAAATTGTTGTTGGTTTTTGTGTAAATAAATTGCATTTGAGATTTGAGAAAAGATCAAAACTTAGGTCAGAGATGTATCTTCTCCTATAGCCTTATCTTATCTCAAATTATGGATTAGAATCTCGATAGATCATCAATTCTTTAATCTGTTCTGTCCGGACAAACCATAATCTTCGCCTCATGTCTCATATCGGTCATCCGTTGAACCCAACATAAAATTTGGAAGCAATCCAAAGATTTGAAGTACAAAGACCCAGCAAACAATGTGCGAATCGCGTTCATCAATCCCTGGAGCTGAATGGGCAGGGCGATAACAAAAGGTACACGGAGTCGGGGGTATAGAACACAGATCTCTGGGGTCGTTATTTATGGAGGGAGAAGAGTGCTCTTATACGAGTGCAAACACATCACATCAAACCCCACCCAGAAACTACGTTCGAGGAACAGCACGTCCGAAGACACACACAGATCCGCCGAACACAAAGACAAAAAAGCCTTGATTGGGTCACCGTCTGGAGCGGAAGGCTCTCCTCTCCCTTGGAGTAGCTCACGTTTTGGCTTGGCTGAGGGGTAAACACAGGGTAAGACGAGGTGCAGCCGTAGTGAGTAACCGCATTAAGGAAATGCCAAGCATCCTACAAGGGACGGAGACAGAGAGACCGAGAGACAAGGTTATCATTGCGTCCCGCCTGTGGCTGTGAGTAATTCCACATTCCATAAATCTCCGACCTAGGCCATCCATGCGGTCACTTCCCCGAGTGTGTGTGTTTTTGTTTTTATCAAACTTAATTAGATTAACACTTTAACTACCCTTTTTGCTTCTTTTTGCTCAAGTGCATAATTGTGAGCGTTTCGTAATTGAAGCCAATGCTGTGGACCATTCAAAAGTGTCTTCACTTCCCTGACTAGTGGCTGGAGGGGAGGTGTTTGGGATGTGGTTGTGCTCTGGAGGGGCCGATCAACGCTTCGGTTGGGTCGGACTGGGGGGCGTTTAATCAGTGATGATACTACTGATCAGATGGGTCTGAAGAAGCTATAAACAGCTGGATGAAATTGGTTGGCTCTAGATCGTATGATCTTCTGCTGAAGACCTCTACTTTTTCTCCAATTCAAAATCAGAGTTTGTGGTTTTGAACTCATCAGTTTTGAACGTTCTGGAAATACTGGTATTTTACTTGCGCTTTTTTTTACAATCTGCCTTTGGATCGACCCTTCGGTTGGCACCCGGGTCTCTCTCTCTCTCTCTCTCTCTCTCTCTCTATCTCTCTCTCTCTATCTATCTCTCGCCTCTGCTTAACTTTATTAATGATTTGTGTACATATTTGATTGTTGTATTTATTGGCTGTAGACACACGGGTCGATAGACGGACGGGGGCTCTTGGTTATAGAGGGAGAGGAAGGTGATAAGGCGATAAGCCCTGTACGGGGGTTGGCTTGGGTTTCATAAGACTCTGACATTAGTGTTGAATCCTTTAATAAATATTTGAGAGAATAGAGAAATATCCAAGATAACCTTTTGAATGTTTGTAGAGGGATTATTAGGAGAGAGGGTTTCAACATGGTTTCTACCTGTTTTTTTGGAAATGATTTATAGTGTTTATTGGTTTGGTTTATTGGTTAATTTATCCATTTATTCTATATATATTTTAGTCTATATTATTATCTGGAACTATTTTTAGCTTTGTTTTGATTGTGGATGCCACCTTTTTTGCACGATTTCTTTTTGAAATTTATTTCTGTTTTGTTTTTTATATGATTTCTGGCTTCGCTTTCACCTCGAACCTCGAACCCCAAGCCCCCAGAGTGTTTCGTTTGGCAATCATCCACCATCCCAAAAATCCACACACGCGAAACGTACAAAAATGTTTGCGGCTCTTGCGACATTGAAACGGGGCGATAAGAGACGAGACGAGACGGGAAGAGACGGGATTGGACGGGACGGGATGGGGGCAACAATGTTTGCCAAATCTCCGATTGAGCAACGTCTAATCCGCGTAATACTTGATCCAGGGTACGGGACCCGGGAACCGGAACCCGAAACCCCAAAACCGGACGGACCCCGCCTCAACTCTCGATGGCGGCCTCCATCTCCAGCTGGGCCTCGATGATGTCCGCATGCTGCCGCACCATATGGTTGTTGAGATTGCCCACACTCTGGTAGCACTTGTCGCAGTAATCGCAGCCGTAGGGCTTCTCCCCCGTGTGCACCAGAATGTGGGAGCTGAGGTGGCCGCGCGTGAAGAACGACTTCTCGCAGCGATCGCACTTGAAGGGCCGCTCCATGTGCGGATCGTGCGAGCGCATGTGGGTCCGCAGATCCGACTTGGTCGGCCACGTCTTGGTGCACTTGGGGCAGGCAAAGATCCGGGGCTTCGACTCGCCCGTGTGGGTGCGCAGGTGGGAGCTCAGCTGGGTGCGCAGGACGAACTTCCGCTCGCAGTGGTCGCAGCTGAAGGGTCGCTCGGTGGAGTGCACGGACTTCACATGGTACCGCAGGCTGTGGCGACTCGCGAAGCTCTTGTGGCACTCCTCGCACTGGTACAGCAGCTCCCCCATCCCGTGCACGGCGATCATGTGCAGTTTCAGCTGGAAATTCCGCGTGAACTTCTTCTCGCACTCCGTGCAGGGATGGAGGGACCGCGGGGAGTCCGGGGAGCGGACAGCAGCAGGAGAGGATTGCGGTCGCTTCCGCTTGGGCATGGCCTTGGGGGGCTTAGGCTTCGCCAGGGGCATTTCCGGTTCTGGTACTGCTTGTGGAGCCTCTAGGTGTTCGGCTGTTTCCGTTTCGAGTTGAAGGAGAGTGCCGGTGTCCGTCTCTGGTTGGTGGAGGGGCGTGTTCAGTGGCCCGGCATCGGCATCCCAGAGAATGGGCGCCTCGTACGGACTCGAGAGGCTCTCCTGGAACTCCAGGGTATCTAGAGGGGAGCGGAGTCATCAGTCAATCAGTCATTCCGCAAGACCTCGGCACAACTCACCGAAATCCACGGTTTCCATCAGGGGCGCCACATAGGCCACCGGTTTGCCCTGCAGCACCGGCATCATTGTGTCCTCCAGGCTGCCCACCTCCCGCTCCAGACACTCGAGGACATCGTCCAGGGCCAGGGCGTCGCCGGCGGCCACCGTGTGCTGCCACTGCTCGTGGCGGGTGCGGAGCACCAGCTCCGAGTGCTCGCACTCCCGCTGGAAGTTGCGGGCATCGTGCAGCCGTCGCAGGCACAGATCGCAGATGACATCGGTGAGGCCGTCGCCGGCATCCAGCCGCAGAGTGGGCGCCAGCGCCTTCAACTCTGCGAGCAGGTGGTCGTCGTGGATGTGGCGGTAGAGCGGCGGCTGCTCCAGCAGGCAGCAGCGGCAGATCAGGGGTTGCTTCAGCAGCGAGAACATAATACTTGGGAGGGAGCGTCTGCTCGGCTCGCCGGTTGCGGGACGTCTGAGAGCAGACGGCGAGTCCGGCTCAGGCCCAGGCCCAGGCCCAGGCCCGTCCCGGTGTTGGTGATGGTGATGGCTATCAGGGCAGGCGCACCGATAGCCCTTGGCTTAAGCGATAAGACGGCGTCGCAGTGGCTGTGGATGGGGCACATGCAGGGGGGCGGGGGATCTCAAGAGAGCCGGAGATATAGACAAGCAGACAGGAGGAGGGGGCGGGGAAAGAGCCGGAGGCACCACGGAGGGAGATTCGCTAATTTGCAGTTTGTGGCTTACTAATTGAATAGCATCCATGGACGCATGTGCGTCCCTGAACCGCGATAGGGAGCCCACCATTATCTCAACGCTATATTTGGGTGGTCCGTCCGCCGCTCTCTCCTCCCGCACCTCCCTCTCGGGCGAGCACCAATCATCCCCAAATAGATTGCTCTTATCGCCGCCCTACTGAGATCTGCGGCTCATTGCGGATTCCCCATCTTTCAGTTGTTGTATTCACCCTGGACTTTCGACGGGCAAAACGGCCCCAAGGATTGGTTTAAATGATTTGCCACCCAAAGGACTAAATTCTGCGTTTCCCTAAGATTCGATTGATGTGAAAATTTGTTGGAAATTCCCTCAAAGTAAAGGGTTTCCCATAATCTCAAGAAGAAGCTGGGGAAACACACACATTTCTATTGGGGAATGATCTCATTGTCTGTTGGGGATTCAAAGGTTCATTTGTACTTGGGACTCCAGAGTGAGTACAATCAGATCGATGTATATATTCTTTTTATGAGTTCTCTGGAAAATCAGGTTAGGGCGCAACTAAAGATCAAAACTGAACTGCCTACAGATAGGATCTAGGAGCGGTCATTGACATTTAGGAACAAGAAAGAATAGTCCTGCTTTTGGATAGACATCTAGAATAGAATAGATCACAATTCAATATAGTTTCTGGATACAAGCTCTTAGAGGAAAGCCAAATTAGAGCATAGTCAATGCATATCCAACAAGCTGATCAGTCTTAGTGATCTTTGAGGCTTGGAACAAGAAAGAATAACCCTGATTTTGGATAGTCTTCAATCACAAATGATATATAGTTTCTTAATACTAGTTCTTGTGCGATCGTAGAGGTTCTGCACTCAGGCATAGCTTGAACAAAACTCATCTTATAATAGATTATATGTAACTGATCCTTCTTTGTGATATACGAGCCTTGAACGGCTATGCTTCTGCAGAGTGTTTTATGTACAAATCTAAAGAAACTCCTCTGCAAACATCTGAACAATAAAATACAAGGGTATACAAAAACTTTCCACAAGATCTTCATTCTTGGCCTCCACACATGTGAACCGAACCTCATAGAAAGTGAGCTTTAGCCGCTGATAAGACAGATACAGTAAGTACATAGCTGTATGCCCAAGCAAACAACTGATAATGATTATCGCTGGCAGTGCAGTACGTGTCGGCCGGGATAGCCCTCCCCGAAAAACGGCGCTTTATTGATTAATTGAGATCGGATTTTCAGAGCCTAAGCATCCACCATATTGGATAGACGTTCGCTGAGCTGCAGCTGGACCTTGATCATCGAGGAGAGTGTCAGCGACATGAGGAGGTCGCGCATATTGGTGTTGAACATGTGACGGAAGCGCTCCGCCTCCACCATCGGCACCGAGGTCAAAACATCGTGCAGGGCACGGCCCACGGTGTTGTCGGGGCGACGCTTGCGGTTGAGGATGTCGTTGATGTAGCGCAGCACCAGATCGAGCTTCTGCTGGATGTCCTTGGTGGCGTCCACCACTTGCTCGAGTTCTGGCAATAGGCGGCCCGCCTCCTTGGGCGGCAGTGCGCACTGCCTCCCCATGTGGCGCATGGCCACAATATCCGGCGATCCGAAGTAGATATCCATCGGCAGCAGCGAGAACATCAGGCCCTTGGTGCCCCCGGGCACGCCCGTCGCCACGGCACAGAAGATGCGCGTGTTCATGCGCTGGCCCCGCAGCGAGGTGTCCATCAGCAGATGCAGCGGCTGCCCGCTGTGGCACTGACGCTCGTAGTATTCGTGCAGCTCCACTGCTGCGGCCGAGACGGCCTTGCCGGTGCTGAACCAGCCCACAACCTTCTCCTGCGGATAGGCGATCTGCGCCAGCTCCAGCATATCGTTGTCGTACTTCAGATCCAGGTCGATGTGGCAGTTGTTGTCCCCGTGCATGCGGTGCACCACGCTGAAGCAGTTGGTGATCTCTATGCGGCCTGTTTTGCCCGCGACGATGCCCAACAAAGTTCCCAGCACCTGATCGAAAAGACATTGAGAAACGAATAGAACACTCTTTGCAGTGCGACAAAAGGATTACCTCTGGGACGTCTTTGGCGCGACGCTCGTAGGCATCGATGATCTGGAACAGCACCAGAGGGTGCAGCAGCACCTTGGACTGCAGATTGAAGTTCGAAAGCGACATAATAGAGGAGGATTACACTGTATTTTCAAAGTTACAAATGATGAAAATGGCTAGCATGGGCCGTGAGCGAAATTCCTGGAAAAAGTGAAATTGTTGTGAACTTGGCTGCGCTTGAGCACTGTTTTCCGTGCTTTTGCAACACTAGTCGTTAAAAGCAGAAAAGTTTGCCAAAAGGAAATGCGGAAAGTGAACACGAAATCAGCTGGAATTCGGATATAAAAAGGAAGCTGGAATTTTTCCTCTATTAATACGATTATGAACTTGAACCGCAATCATAAAGATCATAAGATCGTAATCGCAACAAAATATACGCAATTAATGGTCGCCGCAGGCTTTTCTAAGACTCGCACTAAATGAGCATTAAACTAAATTGAATCAGCAGACCCTAATACACTGCGAGAAATATTCCTCAAGGACAATATAATTAGTGGGGTGAGTGTTGAATATTACGCTCATCCAAAAGTGCTGATTGGTGCTATGGAGATTATGCTGATATGGCGACTATGTGCAGGTTCTGCGATAACCTGTCGTTTTGAGCAGTGCATGAGCTGATGTCTTGGCGCGCATTCAGAACCCAATCAAAGGAAACACAATCTTGTTAATGCCGCCGCCTTGGACAGTGTTAATGCTGGACTCAGAGATATGTATATACTCATAGGTACATACATATACATACATAAATGTATATATATAGATCGCACACATGGCTTGATTGCCCAGAATTGAATTCAACATTTGCATGCCTCCGCCTCACCGCCTCACCGCTACACCTACTCAATTACCCGATTACCCGATGATCCTCTGCCGAGTTGAACGTGCTCGGCTGACATTACCATTACTCTCTCGTACTATATAGAGAATCGGACCGTGATACTTCCAATAGTTCGTTCTTATATGTATATAGTATATATTATTTTTATCGCACATCCACATCCACCGCCAGAGCCAGTGCCCAGAGCCCAGAGCCCAGAGTTTTATTTTTTGTTGGTGTGTTGTGCGCTTTTCTCTGTTTGAAATAAATTGTAAATGATTTTGATTAAAATTTCCGCTTAAATTTCTCAGCCGGAATATCTGTGTCTCATTTTTCTGCTTCTATCTATCTCCCGGCTTCTCTCTCTCTCTCTCTCTATCTCTATCTCTCTGGGTTTAGTGTTTGCTTTTTTTTGTGATTTGGAAATTCTTGGGGGAAAATGATTTAGTCGCCTTTATATTAGCCAATTATATTTATGGCGCATAGTTTTCGCCAATTTCTATTTATTTTATTGCAAAATGACGCACGACACTGACATTTCTAGAGTGTCGTGCGATTGGCCTGGGGGTCTCACTGTCGTCTGTCTTGATGCGGAAGACGGGGTTTCTTTGGGTAAAAGCGTGGGAAGAATTTCTACTATAATGGGTCCTCATATGGATGGCGTGGGTAGAGCGAAAATGGCATCAGCGATGGGATTTAACCGATTGGGGGGCCCTCATTGATCTTAAAATTAGTCCTTACTTTTGATCTTATCATAATTAAACGAATATATACATACAAGTCCTACAAAGTCCCCAAAATAAATACATATATCATTTATCATAAAAAACCCCCAGCAATAGCCCACTAAGCCATTACATTTACTATCTTCGAGTATTTTGGCCATCTTACAGCCTAAGCAAACAGCATTCCTTGCCATAAACTCGAAACACTTGTGCGGATCGGATGCATAGTTCCAATGAAACCTCCACTCTTCGTTCGGGTCATAAAAACCCTGCCGAAAATTCAAATGAACTCGCGCGATGGCAATTCCCATTAAAAACGCTGCGCGCAGGCGCAGAAGAAAGTGGCGATTAATGAGCGAAAATGCGACCTTCAGACTGTGGCAGCAACAGCTGTGGCTGGCGGATGGCGGATGGCGGATGGCACACACCTGTGCACAGAAACAGGTATGTGTGTCCGAAGGAAAGGCGAAAGAAAGATTTTTCCCGAAAATAAAACCACTGCAAACCGGTGCGGTGCAGTGGAAGAGAGCGCTGGCCAACAGGTGAGAGAGAGAGAGAGAGCAGCAGAGAGCGCATTGAGCGCGGTGAGTCGCCCGCCATCACGTGCATGTACCATAGAGAGGTGGAGAGAGAGAACGTCTAGCGACTTCATTCCATTCCGATACGTGGTGCGTGGCGGTTGTGTGCGCGCAACTTTCTTTCTTTCTTTCCTTTCGGCGAAGGCGCCCACTATTGAGAGCAGAGTCGAATCAGTGGCAACAATAGCCAGAGCCAGAGCCCCAACCGACATCAGAGAGAGAGAGAGAATGTTCATTCGAAGCCCCCAATCAAAGGCAATCAAGTAGGGGACAAAAGACGACAAAAACGTCGCGCTAACGGTCACTGAAATTGAAATTGTGCAGCCCCCAAAAACGTAAGCGCCCCCCCCTCCCCGCCTCCAAAAACGTAAGGCCGCTGATCAGCCCCATGCCAGAGCTAGAGTCAGTCCGTGAGACGGTCTCATAGCCAGCGGTCGCCGTTCCGTGCTCGTGCTCGCGCTCCGTGCCCCCAGCCCGTTCCCTGCCCCCCG